AAGCCCTGCTCCGGCTGCTGCCGGTGGCTCTGGAGGGAGAGGATCGTGGCATGATGGGCATGGTGCTGTGAAAGGCTCTTAGCCCAAAAAGCCCTAAAAGCCCCTGGAATCCTGAAAAGAAATGCCAAATTCCCAGGTTTATTCTAACCCAAGGCTGGATCGCTGCTGGATTAAAATCTAGACCTGGGAAGGGTCCACTTTCCCGGCTGGAGCCACCAGAACTGCTCAGGGCACGCGCGCACCAGGCAATTACTGGCTGATGCTTCCGAGCGCTCGCGTCTCATCCCGAACAAACGTGCACCCTGCAGGTTTTGGTCTGCTTTCAGCTGTGGATTCCAGGGAAGTAAATATTCCCAGCGTTAGCATTAAAGGTCTTTTTAGTGATCTTGGATCAAGACCTGGCAGAACTGCTAATCTCACCCTCGCTTAAAAAGGGATCCGTTGCATTCCACTGGGTGCAGATTGCAGCATCCACGGAAGGGTTCAGGAATTCCAGCAAAGCCACAACGTGGTTTCATTTGTCACGTTGTGGATCAGCCACAAAACCGCCCGGGGGCTCGCTTTCCCATCAGAGTCCTTCCCTCTGTGCCGGTGGCACCGCTGCGCTGCCGCCCCCGCCAAGCTCCCTGGCAGCGCGGGCAGGAGGCCCTGGCTTGCCTGACCTCTGGCCAGGGGACGGAGCGGTGCTTACGCTAACGACGTGCACGTGCAGCGTGCCGGAATGCGGCAGGCCAGAAAGCAGATGGCTGTCCTTCACGGCATCGTGCTGGAGTCAGTTTTCCCTCAATAGCTTGGGATAGTTCCAGCCTGCGCAGGCACATCCCCCTACGGTGCCGGGTGCGTGGTGGGACACCAGACGCTGGCACAGCCAGCATTCCAGCGGGGAAAAGCTTGCGGCCAGGAGCCCTGTCCGGCCGGAGGCAGACGGTGACAGGGAGCCGGGCAGCACGGAGTGACGTACGGGTACGAAACTGCCACCAAATCCCTCGGGCTTATTTGCCTGCGAGATCCGGGTGTTGCCAGCTCCAAGACATTCGGAGACGCGCGCTGTCGTGACGGAGTGTCCGGCGCTACCTCCGCGCGCAGGAGCATCCGGCTGATCCCTGTCATCTCTCCCCAGATCGAGTACGAACACAGAGCGCCCGAGTGCCGCCTGGGTTTGAAAGAAGGCCGCCCGTTCTCAGGGGTGACTGCCTGCCTGGACTTCTGTGCTCACGCCCACCGGGACCTGCACAACATGCAGAACGGGAGCACGCTGGTAAGTCCGCGGCGCGCAGCCCCCCCTCCAGCACGAGCCGCGTCTCCTTCGTACCTCCCGTCCGCTTAAATCCACGCTGGCAGAAGGCGGGTGGGGAAGGAGCGGTGAGGCCGGGAGCAGCTGACTTGCTGCCCCCTGCACAGCGTCTCGCTGTGAACGAGACGGTGCGGGTTCAGTCGGAGCGGGTCTGTGGGTCACCGGAGAGAAGGTCCCGGCCGGGCTGAAGCGCCTGCTTCGCTCTTCCTGTCGCAAAGCGGCTCCTGTTTGTCCCCCTGAAACACGCTTTTTCCC